GATTTTAATTTAATGTCTGGTGACATAGCAACTTGGCATCAGACATTATTTTCACAATTGTGAATAAAATCTATCTAAATAAATTCCTAAAAGTGTTTCTTGAATTTAGGCCTTTTTTTAAACTTGGGTTGTACAAATTACCTGCAAAATCCACATTTATTTCTAATCACCTGTTGTCCTTGAGACCGTGGTAAAAGACTGTCTTCTTGAACATCTGCAATCCATCTGGTGAAGATGGTTTGCACAGTTCTGAAGGAAGTGACAACCAAGGGGACTTCTTGTCCTAAATATTGTCAAACTTCCTGAACAATATTAGTGTAGCTCATTTAGAGATAGGTGAACAGTATGGAATTGTGCATACTATGTAGGTTAGCAACTTTGTATAACTAGAGTCTCATGGGTAAATTGTAGGAAGATACTATGACAAAAAGTGCCAAACAGCCTGAAGACAGGGAGATTTGGCTGACCTTCTAAATATGAGATTTCTCTGAAATCAAGTATAATAGCAAAATCAAATGCACAAGTATGCACATAATTAATTTTGTTCACATATGATGTTAGGAATCTTAGATAAAACTTGTAAAACAAATCTTTAAGTTGAAATAGTCCATCATTCACTCCTTCTTCCACTGTGTCACAAGAGCAACAGTCTCTACAAGATGTGCTGCAGAAATTGATAGAAGCTCCAAACTCATGACACTATCATCTAGAAGGAAAAGGGTCAGCATGGGAACACTGCCACATACATGTTCCCTCCAAACCACTTGCCAGGCTGACTTGGAAATATGTCACCATTCCTTCAGTGTCACTGCACCAATATCCTAGAACTCCCTGCCTTGCTGCATTGTGTGTGTGCCTACAAAAAAAGAAACTGAAACAGTTCAAGAAAGCAGCACACCAGGAACCTCTGAAGAAAAATTAAGGGTGGCATGATGTTTTTAAAAAAAAATGAATATTAGGACAAAAGTAGTGTGTCTAGTAGTGTTCAAGGTATATCTTGAGGGAACTTCTAATCAAGAACACACCTGAACTGGTCTTGGTTCCCAAAGGATACTAATAACATTTGATATATAAACTCGCTTGTTTGTAATGATATACTAGTTCAACAAATCCTGAAAGTTAACTTGACTTCAGATCCTGAGCCTTTCTTAAGACTAAACTGGAAGTCCTACAATACAGTGAAGCTACGCACAAACTATTGCTTTTAACATTTCAACTGTTGCTTTCCCCTAAACTAACCATTTGCTGATGTCAGCCACTGAAGAATCTTGAGCTGAGCTTGCCTAATGTGAATGTTTTTAAGCATGTCTGGAAGGCATTTAGAAAGATTCAGAAAAGTAATTATTTTAAAAAATGAGAGCACAGAGAATTAGAAGTAATTGTATGACGTGGGTCAATAATTGGTTCAGAGCTAGTAGAAGGATGATTAAATCGTTCATTCTCTGATGTGTAGCATGCAATAAATAATATTCCCCAGGAATCTTTGCTGGCACATCTGCTTTTCGACATAGCTTTTAATGACTTGGGTGAAAGAATAAATGTGGTTTTGCATATTCAAATTCACAAATTACTTTAAGTAAGCGACGTAATAACTTGTCTTGTTGGGAGCTTGAAATTGTAAAGGGATTCAGAAAGACCAAATGAGTGTGAAAACCAAGACAGTAGGAGTTCATCATGGCATAGTATGTGGTCAGTAACTTTGGAAGATGAGAAAGATAATTCAGAATTCCTTCTTGATGACAGGCTGGGAGCTGCAGAGGAATAAAGGGATTTTGATGTCCATGTGCATGAATCAATAAAAGTTGGTGCAGAGGACAAATAGCAAGAAAAGGGCCGACGGGACATTCACCTTTATCTCAAGGAAGGTGGACTGCAAAAGTAAGGAAGTTACAGTTCAGCTGTGCTGAGCCTTCACTAGATCCTCTCTAGAACATTATGTTTTATGTTGAATGCTGAATCTTTGGAAAGAAATATTATCCTTGTAATATGTAAAATATAGATTTACCAAAATAATTAGAGGAATGAAAGGATTACATGAGAAGTGTACAATGCATATGTTTGATTTATTTCTCCTCAAGTTTGGAAGTTTGAGTGTGGATACAATTTAAATGCTTAAAATGAGAATGGGGATTGATAGAGTCGATACAGAGAAACTGTAAAATCTTAAAACTTAAAACTGAAATCAGTATGCACATTAACACATGAATAGCAATAGAATCTGCGGCTCTCTTCCCAAAAGACATTAAGGCTTGGCCAACTGATATTTCCAAGTCTGAGACTGATAGATTTTTAACAAAATCCGAAACTTCTGAAAAACCTCAGCAGGTCTAACAGCATCTGTGAAGAGAAGGCAGAGTTAATGTTTTGGGTCCAGCAACACTTCTTCAGAATCCATTCAGAACCCAGATGCTGGCAGACCTGCTGAGTTTTTCCAGCAATTTCTGATTTTGTTTTTCTGTTTTTGTTAACTGACACATTTTTGTTTGTTAAGATATGGATAAAAATAAGTAGAGGTACAAATCTATGATCTTATAGAATGACAGAATCTCGCTGAAAGGTTGAGTTCCCTTATTCTTGTTTTTCAGCTTGCTAGTTAAGGCTTCTCATTAATAATGTGCAAAGGGACTACAGCTAGGGAACCTAAAGAAAAATCCAATAAATTTAAAACCAGCCCACAACAGTGGTAGATTGAGCATGAAGTATTACACTGTTAAATTTGCTATAACTGTACTGCTTTATGCTTGACAACATATGTAAAACACATCAATTCTACCCCAGAAAATATCTTAGCACATAAGTCTACATTTATTTTGGATAGCAAATCAATTTCTGTATTCTCATTTATGGTGGGATTTGGCAGAAATTCTGTGATCCCCAGATTATGAAACTCATTTTTTCTTTGCAACTATTTTAAATTTATTCCCCTTTTATGGTTTGAATCAAAGCCATTCAGCAATTGTGTATAAATTTGAGGTAGTTGGGACCTTTGTCTTTTAAGAAAAGACCATTTACTCTGTTTCAAAAAATTTCAAAAGGTATGATTTCCTGCTTTTCCAAGACTATCAGAATAAAGACAGCCTCAAAATCCAATTAGTTTGATGAGAGGATGTTCCAAGTCTATTGTACAATGTTATTTTAATTTTTCTGTAGTACAGAACATAAATATTGTTCAAAAGAAGCATAAAATTGAAGCTTTTCATCTTGCATATATCAGGGCTTAAATGCAAGGATCCAATCTTAAAATGGAAGCAATCTTTTTAAAAGTTAGTTCACAGGATCTGGATATTCCTGGTTAGGCCAGCACTTATTGTCTTTTCTAATTACCCTTGAGAAGTTAGTGATGAGTTGCCTTCTTGAACGGCTGCCATCCTTGAGGGTGTAGGTACACCCACAGTGCTATTAGGGAGGAAGTTCCAGGTTTGGACCCATTGACAATGAAGGAGTGGATATAATTTAAAGTCACAGTGGTCTGGGTTGGAGAGGAACTTGCAAGTGGTGGTGTGTCCCCGTGTATCTGCAGCTTTTGTTCTTCTAAGTAGTATGATTATAAATGTATGAATTATTGTTCCCTTTCTGAATTTGTTTTTGTTTCATTTTAATCTTGATGGATGCAAGCCAAAAAGCTTTGACTTTTTTTTTGGCAATCTTGATATGTTGCTTGATCAATATGATATTTTAACTGTATTTTATTATTCACATTGTTCATACCTCTCCAGCACCAATCTCTCTATATGGTAGTGAACAAATCCTATTTAAAATAAAACTGGCTGCGAAGAAGACTGTGCTGTAATTTATTCATAACATAACCTGTTGAACTTAAAAATTAATATGCATAATTTGTCCCCTGTCAAATGTAAAAGAACGTCTTGTATCTTGTCAAATGTTCTTAAAACTGAAATGAACTAACCCTGTATACCAAAATAGCAACGAAAAGTAAACAACTGATGTAGCTCTTTCAGACCCATTGCTTCTTCGGTCTGTTCGCTCTGTGCTTTCTCCCTTTATCATTCTGCCTGTAGCGTCTAATTCAAAGTGACAACCAGAACTGAAATTACTGGCGCTTCGGCCAATAATTGCGGTACTCTGGATCCACGTTTCTTGTTATATCCCTCTCCCCCCTCCCACCGAACAGCTCTATATCTCTACACTCCCAACCCCAGCCCTGCCTCTTCTGCATCTCAAATATCTTCCACAAAACCGGGGTTTGTGGCTTGCTTAACGACACCAGAAGAAGCTTCTTTGGCTGTTTTGGAATTCAGCAGGAGGGGCATGAAATGAAAGGGAAGCTCAGATTTAACAGGTCCGGATCATAACCTCTGCATATAATATTTGGGCAACCTTGCCTTTGAGGGACACATCGAAATGCTGCCACATCGCCCTTGCACACTCCAGCCCACTAACAACGGGAGCGTCAGCACACATTAGGAACAGAAACCCGTTCGATTTCACCCCCCTGTTCAGTTTCAACCGATATTCTATTTAATTTGCCACAGCCACGCGTCTGTGTCATTGCACTGGGGTGTTCCAGTGGAATCTTGCGCCGGTGAACGTTAATGTTAAAGATATTCATTCACAACTCCGAGCAGACCCGCTTCACCAGCGGCATCAATTGTTACTGAACTGATTAGCCCGCTCTTGGGAGACCTCTTCAGTTCTTAACCTCTGTGGCTACACAGACGAACGCTGCTAACGGTGTTAAAGAGAGAGAGAGTGAGAGAGAGAAAGTGTTTGGGTAGGTTGAAAGGCATTGAAAGCTTTGGGCGAGCATATCTGGTAAAACAGTCATGATTTATTTTCACCTCAGACGCTGGTCACTGTCCTCTCCTGGTTACAAAATGCAACTCTGGCTGTCATTAATAACGGAACAGCACAAGCACATCCCTTTGCACACGACAGCAGGGAGCAATGTATGACACTCATTCGATGCTGGAGCTCAGAGCAAGAACTATACGCTTCCCCCAAATCCTGAACCCTCGCCCTTTCTTTCTACGAGCACTTACCATAACAGGGGGAACCCCGGCCACAAGAGAATAGAGGAGAGCTGGCGGAATTGCACTGCTTTCATCGGGTCCAGGGTACGGTTTATTGTAGGTGCCGTCATGGCAGAAAAATCCCTGGACGTGGACGTTGAAAGTGTCGGTGTATTCGAAGTAATAAGCCAACATGACAGTCCCTGCCATTATCACCAACTGGAAATAGAGCATGGTTGTTGGGGATGGAGGGTGGGTGATGGGGTGGGTGGGGGGTTTGCTGAATAACAAAATCAAAGGAATCCGTCTCTTTATATACCCTCCTGTTGCTGTTGGTCAATATCTGTATAATCCACACTTCAGGAAGGCGAAGGTAACTATCGCTCCATTCGCTTGCAGGATCAGTTTCTCAGCAAAGCGGCGAATCCATTCAGGAAAGGACTGAACTGCCCGTGCATTTTACACCTACCGCAGGCTGCCTCAGTTCAGTCAGGGAGGCAAGGAGTTCAGCTCCAAGCCCTGGCTGTGAGAAGGGGCTAGGTATCCCTCTCACCCTCCTCCTTCTCTTCCTCCTCTTCTCGCTCTCTGTCTCTCTGCCAATACTCCGGCTCTTTATTGCATTGGACTGATGTTCCCCGGTGCCTTCAACATCTGGTTAAACACACACACACACACACACAGACACACAAAGCAGCCTCGAACCGAGGCGCCGCTTCGCCAACCTCCTCCAAAAGTTCATTTAGGCAGATGAGCAGATTCTTATATATTCGCGCCTATGAATTCAGTCTCGGAAAGTGACACCGGGGTATCTCTGCTCACCAACAGGAGGGTCCTGTTCAAGGCTTGCTCGGGGAAGCACAGTCCTTGGAGCCTCACAAGTCGCTGCGTTTTGCTCAATCGCACAGAACCCCAATTTGTTTTTCCTTTCTGCATGTTAATAGGAAAAATCGACAGCCCGTCCCACGACATGACAGCGTTCCGCGGCCAGGGCTGTATTGATCGCACAACATTGGAATTTTTCCAATAAGAGACATTTTGTTCGCGCTTGCAGTATTGTGTTCTATCTTTACAAAAAAAGAGAAACAGTCAATACGTCACTTTTCATCGCTGACAGTTGGCAAACTGGGTGGTCTAATGAACTATTACTGAAACATGACACCATCAAATATAATTACCATTGATTAGCCCATAAAGCATGTACTGCTTTAAACAACGCTAATGTGACTCTCCGTAAAATAATTGTCCTATAATTTGAAAAAAAACGCAATAAATTTTAACCATTAGACACCAGGAAAGCTTAATGAAGGTTATATAATAAGGAAAACACAATCCCTCGTGAATTCTTTCTTTCTCTAGTGATTCCCAACCCCTTCCTAAAACTGCTCACACCTTGTTGGTGTGGAGTTCCACTTCTATCAGATGCCATTTGGTATCCCACTCAAGTAGCCATTGGCATTGAGTGGCATCATACTATCTGACCATTGAAAACTGTGACAGATAAGACATCAGCCTCAGGTCAAAGGAAGTACTCTCGCAATGGAATCAGAAGCTTGTGTGATCAAAATCTAATGCAAAAATGTGAGCACATTATCTCGCCTGATAAATAGATTTGCCTTAGTCTACAAAGCACAAGAGCCGCTTCTCACCATTAGACCGACAGTATATTTCAAGGAGTCGAGCTGGATGAACACAGCAGGCCAAGCAGCATCAGAGGAGCAGGAAAGCTAACATTTCGGGTCTAGACCCGAAACGCCAGGTTTCCTGCTCCTCTGATGCTGCTTGGCCTGCTGTGTTCATCCAGCTCTACACCTTGTTGTTTCAGATTCTCCAGCATCGGCAGCTCCTACTATATCTCAAGGAGTGCCAACTTTGCAGGCTTGGGCCAAGGTAAGGAACCAAACCTCCAAGAACAACTGCAGGTAATATGGCGATTGAACTTGCACTAGTGCATCACAATCAATACATCTCCCTAAATTCTTTAACAATTCCCTCTCTTCAGTGCTGCGCTGAGTAAATGCGGTGCTGTCCAAGGTACTGCCTTTGGATAAGACTTTAAACTGAGTTTAATATCTGCTGCCTCAATTGGTGGCAAAAGATTTATTTGGTCCTGCTTGAAGAAGAGCTGGGCAGTCCTGGCAAATATTTATCCCTCAACTGACAAAACTAAAATAGATTATCCAACCATTATCTCATTGCTATTTGTGTTAAGCAAATTTGGCTAGATAGTTTCCTACATCAGTAGCTAAGCTTCAAAGCTTACTTTATTTACTATGAAGGATTTTGGGACATCCTGAAATTACTCAAGATGCTAAACAAAAGCAAGTTTCTTTCTTTGCTTCTTCATTATAAAGGTACAGACATGGACTTCAGCAGGAAGTCTGGTGCAACTCTGGGGCACAGACACTTTAATCAGATAACTCAGCACAGTTTAGGGATTGATCCTGGACTAGCCCTGGTCAGTAAGACTCAATTCCCTATTGTATAAACTCACTGCTAGAAACTCTATTGCAACCCATGCGTTGTGTTGCTCCAATGTGTTCAGAGAAATCTTCATGGCCAAGCCTGATCCAAATATTTAGGGAAGAACATCAACATTTAATGAGCTTAGTGGGGGATCAGGGATGAGGGATTGGGGCAGTGCATAGTCTCCTACTTTTTCTCTATCTCTGAAGCATAGTTTGTTTTTTCTTCATTACATAGTGTAAAGGTGATAGATGGGTGCAAACATTATTTGTGATTTGTCATTTACAAAACTCCTCATGAAGCCAGCTTAGTGATGAAAATGCGTCTTTGCATTGTTTTTCTGTGTGCACTGATATATTATTCTGTAATTCCCAGACTGTTGACACAGTTTGTACAAACAGTTTGACTGATACCTGTAACTGTACAAAAGAATTTGGAACCATAGAAGGTGAGAGTAACATTCTGTTACATTACGCTGGGATATGCTTATGTCAGAATTCACTTGACATTGGACCTCAACGGGACCAAGAATTTTCTGAAAATTGAAAGCTCTAAAGATGTAGGTTAATTGTCAGATTAATGACAGATATTGAACATTGATAGCTTCCTAGTACAGTCATTATTTTCATTCTCTGTATTTCCCTTGCCTCTGTATCTCTTCACAGAAACAAAGCATGATAGGTTTTATCAAGTAGTTGAGGCCATAGCTTGTTTATTTATTAACATGCCACTTTTCAGAGCTGGTTCAATCAAGTCATAGAGTCATAAGAGTTATACAACACGGTAACAGATTTTTTGGTGCAATCAACCCATGCTGACAAAGTTTTCCAAACTGAACTAGTCTCACCTGGCTGCTCCTGGCCCATATCCCTCCAAACCTTTCCTATTCATGTACTTATTCAAATGTCTTTTAAACATTTTAATTGTACCCACATCCACCACTTCCACTGGAAGTTCATCCCACACATGAACCACCTTCTGTGTAAAAAAATTGCTCCTCCTATCTTTTTTAAAACTCTCTCTTCTCACCTCAAAAATGTGCCCCCTAGTCTTGAAATTCCCCATCCTAGGGAAAAGACAACTACCATTAACTCTATCTATACCTCACATTATTTTATAAACTTCTATACGGTCTCCTCTCAAACTCCTATGCTCCAGTGAAAAATGTACCAGCCCATCCAGCCTTTCTTTATAACTCAAACCTTCCATCCTTTCAATGTTGACAGGTTGCTCACAAACCATCAATACAAACAGCACCTGTGAGCATGTTCCTGGGTAATATTGGCCTAGATGTTCCAATGGCCAGATCTGCGTTGAAGCAGTGTGGACTGGATCAGTATTACACATAATCCTGATGCAGCTGACTCCACAGGATTTATTCAGGAAATTGAATCTTCCAATGGGAAAGTCTCCTGAGTTGGAATACTTTTGAAATGTTTGTACACAGTTGGAGATTTCAGAGGGTTCTAGCTTACTTAAATTTAAATGTTAGATGATTAAACTGTACTCTCTTGGGTAACTACTAAAGAACTGCAGATGCTGGAAATCAGAAACAAAAACAAAAGTTGCTAGGATCTGGTTTTTTCCTTTATTCATTCACAGGATGAGGGCGTCGCTGGCTAGCCAGCATTTATTGCCCATCCCTAATTGCCCAGAAGGCAGTTAAGAGTCAACCACATTGCTGTGGATCTGGAGTCACATGTAGACCAGACCAGGTAAGGATGGCAGTTTCCTTCCCTAAAGGACATTATTGAACCAGATGGGTTTTTCCCCAACAATCGGCAATTGACTCATGGTCATCATTAGACTCTTAATTCCAGATATTTATTGATATCAAATCCCACCGTCTGCCGTGGCAGGATTTGAACCCAGGTCCCCAGAACATTATCTGGGTCTCTGGATTAACAGTCCAGCAATAATACCACGAGGCCATCACCTCCCCCTTCTGCAGAGAGAAAGCAGAATTAACATTTTGCGTTCAGAAAATTGAACACCTGACTCACAACTGACAAACTTCGACTACTAGTTCGTCCAAAACTCCGATACCCTAGACATAACCCCCACTCCTCACTGAATCTGACAGCCCTAGCCTAAGCCTGTTGGAGTTGAAAACACCCAGCCAGCCTGGCGTGACCTCGCTGAAGTCAGCACTCCCCTCCACTGGTCTGACCTGACCCAATCTGTCCCCTTCCTAAGCCTTGATCTCCAGCTTGGCCCAACCCGAAAAAATAGCTAACCCCCATTTGGCCCAACCTAGATTCCTCCTGCAGGACTGGTTCAATCTGAACTCATGAGCTCCTGCATTCTGGCTTAGCCTGAATTGACCCTGCTATACCTCCTACCCAACTTAGTCCAGCCCTCCACAGAAACTCACAACTTAGCACCTCACTTAGCTTACAAGTTTGAATTTTCTCAGTTCTGTTAAAGGACCTTAAACTTTAAAAATACTGCACACCATAAAAAAGGGCAGTGTCTCATCTTGCAAATGTTACTATTGTTCTGAATGTATTTCTTACCAGTTTTCTGAGAAGGATGCATTCAGAACAGGTCAGTCTTGGGATCTTGGCTAGAAAAATTATTAACAGCTAACTAGATAATTTTAAAGAGGGTTACCGTCCATAAAATCTGTTCTGATAGTTATCAAAATATTTGGTCCATTATTTAAATGTGCATACATGAGTCTTAGCTCTGGTGTGTGTACTGAGTTTACTCAATGGTAAACACGCAAGTTGAAATAAAGCAGGTTGAATGTTACAGTCTCTGGAGGAGCC